AATCCAATGCAAATAAGACTGTATTCTACTAGATTATTAGGAAGGGGTGACTCCAATATAAGTAAGTATAAAGCTACGTTTATACTGGACACGATAATGTCAAAGACATGACCATCGCATTATTTATATTATTCAGCACTGAACCCATTTTTATCGCATCGTCGTGTCGTTATCGTGTCTAGTATAAATGTAGCTTAAGAGAGATTTTTATATCCATCTCATTATTCTCAATGAACATATACACAATCATTTTTGGAATATTAATGCAGGTCATCTAAACTACAAAATTGTAAGCTGCTTTAGTCTAGAAGTCATCCATGATCAAAAATGTACATTTTGGTCCAAGAGACAGATTAAATGTTGATTTATTGCCATGACAACCAGTGATGAGGTACAAGAGCTCTTGAAATACTAACAGTATATTTAGGTCTTCAGTGATGACATAATTCAGATTTTAAAAGGTTCAATGATGTTAATATTTTCAAAATCATAATTTATTTGTTGTGCTTTAAGTAGTACTAACAATCAAGGCATGTGGAAATACACTACAAAATATTTAATAAAAATAACATGTTTTTTTAATTGCGATAAAAAAATATGATTAATAGATAACTTTACTGATAACTGCCCAATAAATTTTACAAGATAATTCCTAGAATTAATACATACCCTCCTACGAACAACGCCTGCACGCGCACTTTACTACAGTAATATAATGATTGTTAATAATGAAAAGTAGTTTTTATGAATGCGAAGATGTCACTCAAATTGCTATTCAGATAATTTGTTTACATGATATATAACAACAAAATACTGCATAACCAATTCTGTCATGTTGCTCGGGGAGTTGGAACCTTAGCGTTTGAGGACGAGCATAATAAGTATGAGTCCATAACTACACGCAAGCATAATAAACACAATTAACGACTAGAGTCATGTGACCTATGGTAGTTCAATTTGTAAATTATAGACATAGTGAACCAGGCTCTGTATTTACTTCTAACATTATCGTTGGGTCATTGTTTTAAAACCATAAAACTTCCTCTTCGTATACGCTAATCACGCTGTGTGTGTTCACATACGGTAACCACTAATAGTTGGATCACTGATTTTGTCTACAGTATTACACTTTACAGTGTAGGCCTCGTTTTGTACCACCACCCAGTGATTCTGAGCACATTAACCAAGTTTGTTTTTTTTAAATTTGACCATTCCCACAATGTGGCATTATACTTGCGCATAATAATACAATGTAAGTGAACTCGTATCTGAATGAGGTTACGTACTAAAACATCATGACCCGAAAGAAAGTTCATTTCAACCAGCAAAAAGAAGATGAATATTTTATTTACACAGTTAAATGTGCAACAGATGAGAGACATTTTAATTACCTCTGTTTGAAAACAATTAAAGCTGAGGAATGGGTGACACTGATAATAAGGGGAAAATTATTTTGGCCAAAGCACAGTGACAATTTAAATTTAGGATCAGTTGGTTATCATTTTTTTTTTTTTTTACTATAGGCCTAGACTCATTGCTAAACATCACTCATTAAAAGCATTTTTGCTGAAAGATGTTAATACTGGGACAAAAAAAATCAATGTTATTAAGCTATGAAATTTTTATTTAAATCTTGACAATGAGAAGTACTCTTCTGAAATATATTTTGAACTCCTCGAAAGAAGTACAGTTAAACTTGCCTAAGTCGACTTTGCCTAACTCGAATAATTTCGAAGTCAAACGTAATTTACATGCCAAATTGTTGTGTTTTCCCTTAATTAACAATTTCTCGAAATTTATCTAAATCAAACAATTTTTCAATGGCATTTTGGATTCGACTTAGGCAAGTTTAACTGTAATACATTTTTCCAAAAATAAAGCTGGCCCTAATTTTTTAGAACTTGGTTAAATTAGCTTTAAAAAATGATGGTGATGATGATTTGAATAATATAATTGTGAAATGTTTTCATCTATCCGTATTTGTAATAAATTTAATAGTTGGTTCAAACCAATAATATATGAATTCTTATAGCAACTGTACTGTTGGTACACTTCATGGCACTTTTAATTCATACCTCCATTCATCTGATACATAAACAGCCATGTACCAGTACAACCTTCTCTGCTCCCCTGCAAAGTATTGCTACTTGTACAGGCTTCTCGGCACCAGACCAATTTCATTCCAAATCATAAGCAGCTCCCCATTTATTATTGAGGGTTGAAAGAAAAGCCTAGGTATACTAAAAGTACTTTGCTTAGTGTCAGATAATGATGATGAAACCAAATACAGTCCTCTCCATAATATTTTTTTGCTGTTATATTTATTATTATGTAATATTTTGATATCAACAAAAATATTAGCAGTGTATTATGTAAACAGCAAATATTTGCTCTCTGGAGGGACTCCCAAATGTAAGATGTCAATCAAAGATTTTTAAGGGAAATAACTACTTTACACAGATTTACAAGCAATTTAAACAAAAATATATTTTATATTTTCATAAAAAATTATGATAGCAGCCATCATACAATTTAAGTTTTGCCATCAAAGTTTCATTGTCATTACTGAAGCATTGATTAAAATTTTTTGGCAGTAAAAAAAATATTAATTTTAACCATTTTACTACCCACAGCAGGTTTTTTATAAAGGGTTGTTTTGTAAAATCCAAGATGGAGGAGAATTACGACCTAGTGTACAGGCTTGCTGTTGTGAAATTAAATCCCTTAATACGGTGTTGCTGGTAGGGTAATCATGCAATGGCAGTGAGGCCTGTGTATGGAGACACTTTATATGGCCTCCCGGTTATGGCTGGCTGGCTAATATGCTCCTGACTCCATTATAGCCATGCTCAACTGGGTGCTCATTTATTTCTAGGCTTCCGTTCTATAATCACATTTGCTGACCACACCCCAGGAGAGGCTCAGCAGGATTCTGTTACAAAATCTGTTGAGACTGGTGTATTGCACTGTAGAACGAGGGGAGAGTTACAGTTTCATGTAGGAATAACAGTCTAGAATATTACTTTTAAAATGTCCTAATGTTTTTGGTCAGTTCACGCTTCCCTGAATAAGAAAAGGGAAAATGTTTTTGTAAAATGTAAAGGGTCATTGTAATAGTTAGCACCTAAATTCTGTGAAGTTAACTTGCACATTGTCTACCATGTACATAGGTCTACTAAAGATAAGAAAGGATCTTACTGTATTTATTCAAATAAACGCACCACTTTGAATAAATTCCCCTCAAAAAAGGCCTCCCTCTTGAGCCTGATTTGGAATAAACACCTCCCTCAAATAAATACCCCAGGCGTTTATTTTTTTATCGAATAAACGCCCTCCCCCAAGTGACTGTAAACAACACTTATGGAAGCAAAATCATACTTAACATATTCTATTAATATTCTACTCTAGTAGAATTACATTTTTTTTTAAACCTATTTGGGATGTTAAGTCTTTATGATAA